GGGTGTTTGGTTTTCGTTGTAGGTTGCGCGCAGCCCTGAGCTTCAGTGCTGGAAGTCGTCAGCATTCAAGCTGTTCTGCGGCTAATTTGGTGCACAGGCAGCCACTTCACTGCATGTACCGGGACTTCGCCGACGCGAACTCAAGCGCAGGAGACGCGCTGGTTGTTGAAGAGAGTCAGCCTGTCTGATTCGCGCATCAGGACCAAAGTGTCTCAAGCCTGAGGGATGCGGAAGGTTTCACCTCCGTTAGCGACACTTCAGCCTCGACGAGGTTGTGCACAACCTATCATGCCTGTTTCGGGACTTTGGGTGCACACAGGGTGTCGGTTGATGCCAACGAACCGCCTTGATGTGACTTGATGTGCCCGGACCCTGCAGCAGCCTTCTCTGTGTTCAGAAATCTGTCTGTCTGACAATTCCAGGGAAACCACTCCCTTGTGTGACCTTCATATCTCCGACCATGGGTTGCCGATTCGTGTCCGTGGCGCTCGTCTTGGCACAGCTGGTGTCTGAGGTGTCTGGGGACTTTGTGTACGACGACAAGTTGGGAAGCGGCAAGTCGCCTGTGCTTCCGCTCGGGAGCCCGAAGCGCATGGTGAGGTCCATCTTCGAGATCACTCGGACCACCAGCGGTGCTCTGGGAGCCGTGGGAGGTCAGCACTCTCAGCTGATCCTAGACTTCGGTGATCAGGAGCCCATGTTGGCCTGTGACTTGCACACCATCCGAGACCCAAAGAGACCTGAATCCCGTCTGAATCTGGGAGCCATCTTCGTGCTTCGCATCCCGTACGAAGACGTGAAGACCTCCAAGAAGATGAATTCGGCCCAGACCATGACCGAAGAGGAGCTCAAAGAAGCCAAGGCCAAGAACCCTTCCTTCGCGCCCAAATCCATTTGGCGCGAGAGTCAACTGTCCTCTGAAGTCTCCGAGCAGGAGGTCTTCTCCTTCCTGAGAGCCTGGCAGCTTGGCGGTCCCTTGTAAGTTGAAAGCTCCTCGGGGAGATATACCTAGCGACCTAGCTAGCAAGAAACCGACGTATCTACGTCCGTCGCACGGCCCAGCCTGCATGTCGTCTCTTCCTCGATCTCATTCTCATCCCAGTCATCGGCGAGATCATTATTCACTCTATCTTTCGGTTAGAGTCTAAACTATCAGAACCATTCTCTCATCTGATCCTCATCATCCTCATCACTCTGATCGGAATGGTGTTCGTCGTGGTCGTCGCCGGTCGTGGCCGTGGTCGTTGTCCTCGTCGTCGTCCTCCGTCGTCCGTCGTGGTCGTCCGCTTTCGTCGATGCAGCCTGCGAGGCACAAACTCTTCGCGCACCGCTACGGGCAGTTCCAATTCAATTGCCAGGTGATGATCGGGG